GTTTTTATGAGAGTATAACATTATAACATGATATAAAACTCAAAAAAAGTTGATTTTACACGATATTGCCCCTTTAATATTTGGTCATTTTTAAATGGACTGTACTTATATAGCACCTTTCTATCCATCCAGGACACTCAAAGCTCTTCACACTACAGTCTGTGCCTCATTCATCCATTCACACAGCACTCTATTAGGTCTCTACAAAGCTAACATGTACAATCATCTATGGAGACTAATCAGTGCCAATCACATTCATACACTGATGGGACACAGAGGCATTAGGGGTGAAGTGTCTTGCCCAAAGACACATCAGCTGAGACAGCTGGAACAGGGGATCGAATTGGCAACCTACTGGTTCCGGGACGACCCCCTTAACCACTCTGCCACAGCTGCTCCCTTTTTTTGCCATTTTTTCTTCATGTAGACAGGTGAGACTCCCAGATACCCATGTCCCTGTATGTTGAACACAACACTCGTTCCTCTTCTTCCACATCTGTGTGTGACTGTCAGGTCTGGGAGGCAGATTAGGACCCAAATGCAGGCAGGCAGGCAGGCAGCAGGTTCAAAGGAAAAGTAACCAAACAATGAACGGAYGGAGGTGGAGAGAAAATGAGCATAATTTATACAAACAGGGATAAGTGAAAGTTGGAAACAGCTGAGCTAATTATAAGAGAATACAGGTGTGAGGGAAAGATCTGGAGAAAGGTGAAACTGAGGTGAAGAAGTAATATCATGAAGAGGACACAAGAAGGAGACACAAGACAACAAGAACCACACACACAAAAACACAAAACCTCACAGTACCCACCCTCAAAGAATTGTCTCCAGACAATAAACAAAAACACAAGCACGGGAGGGAGGTGGGGGGTACAAACAAACAAAACAGGATGACGGGCAAGAGACAACAGAAGAAACGAGACTTGAAAAGATAGGACAATGAGCATAGGGAAGAAAAAATGAGAAACCAAACCAAAAACTGACAGGAGTCCTGGGGGAAAAAAACAAAACCAAAACAAAACTGTCCAAGGATGGTCCTTAGTGTAGGGCCACAGTTCAGGCCAAGGTCCTGGTGCCCGACCAAAATGAAACAGGACCTCAGGAGGGTGGCCCGGAGCTCAGCCACAGAAGAGCTGGAACTCAGAAGGATGACCGCGGACCCGGCTGCAGTGAAGCTCTGGAGGGCGACCTTGGGCCTGGCCACGATGAGGAAGGATCTCAGGGGGTGCCGTCGACAGAAGGGATGAGGAGACGATGGACGACGACCCAGGTAAAGTGGAGGCAACAGCAGCCGACCCAGATGTCGTGGAGGCGATGGGCGATGACCTGGGCGAGGAGGAGGCAAGGGCAGCCGAACCAGATGTCGTGGAGGCGCCGGCAGCCAACCCACGAACCTCAAGGACCTCTGACTCGGGACTCGCCAACTCAGAAGACACTGGGACTGCCAACTCAGGAGACACTGGGACTGCCAACTCAGGAGACACTGGGACCGCCAACTCAGGAGACTGTGGAACTGTCAACTCAGGAACCGGGACTGGAACCGTCATCTCAGGAACAGGGACTGGAACTGTCAACACAGGAACCTCGGACTCAGGATACTCAGGATACTCAGGATACTCGGACTCAGGAGACTCAGGATACTCGGACTCAGGAGACCCAGGATACTTAGACTCAGGAGACTCGGGATACTCGGACTCAGGAGACCCAGGATACTCGGACTCAGGATACTCAGACTGAGGAGACTTGGGATACGCGGAGAACTCAGGAAACACAAGTACCCTCGGGGTCTTCAAAATACTACCCGGGGTTTCAGGAACAGACTGGCCCAGGGACTTCACAATCCGACTCGGGGACTCAAGATATTCGGAGGACTCAGGAAACATAGGTACCCTCTGGGACTTCACAATACTACCTGGGGTTTCAGGCACTGTTGATGATGATGTAGAGATTGGAACAGATGATGATGATGAAGTTGAGACTGGAACTGATGACTCAAAGACTGGAACTGATGACTCAAAGACTAGAACTGATGACTCAAAGACTGGAACTGATGACTCAAAGACTAGAACTGATGACTCAAAGACTGGAACTGATGACTCAAAGACTAGAACTGATGACTCAAAGACTGGAACTGATGACTCAAAGACTAGAACTGATGACTCAAAGACTGGAACTGATGACTCAAAGACTAGAACTGATGACTCAAAGACTGGAACTGGTGACTYGAAGACTGGAACTGAGACTAGAACCTCGTGAGCTGAGACTGGAACAGGAACAGATGACTTGAGAGCCGAGACTTTTATAAAAGCTGGAAGGGACCAGATCATTTCTTTAGGCATGAAGATATTTACACTGAATGTATTTCTTTTCAATCCATATATGTTCTTCTCATTTATAGGTGTTTACTCTAACAATCTGGTTTTTAGTCCAGCTAATCCTAACTTTAACGGGATTTCCTCCTGTCTTATCTCAGGGGAATTCAACCTCAAGTGTCCAAGGAGCCTCCTCCTTCATCCACCTTGTCCCAAGGTTCAGAGGACACAGGCTTGGATGATTTTTTGTATCGCAGCCCCCTGGAGGAACCAGAGAGTGCAGTGGAGAAGGAGATCCGRCTGACTCTAGAGAGGGAGGAGCGGCACCGCAGGGAGAGAGGAATGATTGCACAGGGCCTTACAATATCTCCGTAAGAAAACAAGACAGACAACTACACTTAGGGAGATGAAAGTATTGGTGTGTGTGTGTGTGTGTGTGTGTGTGTGTGTGTGTGTGTGTGTGTGTGTGTGTGTGTG